GGCGACTATCCAATGTATTACAGACATGTCGAAAGTTTCAAAACACTTGAATAAAGTGGTTTCGAAGGAACACTTGAAGGAGCACACAAAACTGAAACACTAGAATCTGATAAGCCTAAAGTATCAGGATGACTATCCAAAGTGCTGCAAACAGAAGAAACCCTTTCAAAACACTTGAATAAAGAGGTTTAGAGTGAGTACTTGAAGTATCTGAAATACAGAAGCACGAGGATAATTATCCAAAATCGTGGATAGGTACAGAAGGATGTTTTCCTGAAACAGTGGATAAAGCTGGAAACTCAATAGCAGATACAGAGGAAAAAGATGTAGCACTTACCTTTGGAAGGGATTTTCACACTCAAAAACGCTCTTATGTCCTTCACAAAAATTTCTCCCAAGCTGTGCATTACCCTTACGGTTTCAGATGCAATCCGTCTCTTGACAGACAAGTACTCCAATAGTACTCACCAGATCTGCAAAAGGAAAAAGCTTCTCGGCCTTTGAATGCTTCGAAAAAAGATTAGTGTTTATCCGAGCTAATTTTCTGTTTCAGCTTCTTTAAACTGTACGGGTTGAAAACCATTCTCGAACGCGGGAGGACACCTGAAAAGAGATGATCTTCGGGTTTAAAAAACGCTCAATAAACATTATACAGACAATCATATTTATGATGAATATCATCCAAATGTCACAAGAGTTACTGGTACCAACGTGAACCAAAACTAACTCAAATTGATTGTCTATCAAGGTTTATCTTGCGTGTCAACCTTTCAATCGTAGCACCCCGGAAAACAATGAAAATGAACTTCATAATCCAGTAAATTCAGCAATAAATATTCTTTTAAATATTTTATCATCGAATATCTCCGATTATAAGTATTTTCACTTTTCCTGTTTGCTTAGACAAAGACATAATAAAAATAATACAAATAACCAAAATCAAATTAAGAATTAGCACGTGCAGAAAAAAACACTCACCGACGAAAATGGCGGAATACGATTTCTATTTTTACTAGATTTACGTATTTGGCGCCAGGTCCAGTTTGGCGTGAAAAAGATAACCCTCCAACCAATCACAGCAAAGTACACTTTTCCGTAAACATTTGGCTGTACATAATTGTTCAAACTCCTCAAAACATCGGGTTAGCCATGTTGGCGCGTTTATTGCCCATTGAAAAACAATCGCCAAACAGTGGGCTAAACCGCATTTCAACCCATTTATTTACATCACTGTCCCTAATTTTTAGTCCTCTCTGATGCCTACTTAAACAAGAAATGGAATTTCTGGGAGATACATTAGTGTATAATTTATAGGTATGATTTAAATATTTATCTTTCTCAATTGTCAGAAGTGTAGAAATTAAAATATCTAATCATCTATTATGTCTCCGCTTAAAATAAACAGTTTTCAACTGATTGTGAAAAGATTCACAGTACATGTTAGTATCAGTAAATGCATGTGGAAAGTTCCGATAACATAAAGCCCATTCTTCTAATCTATTTTTATAATTTTCAGAAAAATATTCAATAAAATCTCTACTTTTCCTAGAATAGTCATTCAAAAACTTCCTTATTTGATCATGAAAAGTGATCTGGTTTCTTTCATGTAATATTTTTGTTAATTCTCCTAGCATTTTTTGTCGTACTTCCTTATCTACCACTTTAGAATTAAGTTGTCAGAACCAACTTTGGCGTACGTGCCACGAACATAAAAGATGCTTAACATTTTGGCCAAAAACCTTTGAAAATGCAGGATATGTAACTTTGTCATCATCTGTCATTACACAGTTTACATATAAATTTGGTACAACGACACTTTAAACTATTAAATAAACAATAAAGAGTGTCAGCATCTAGAAAATTAGTAATAAAATGAGCAACTGGATAGCCACAACCAAATTCATCAGGTACTATAAGATTAAGAAGGTAAAAATCATACTGGTTAGTCTTATGTGTAGAATCGATACATAAAATCTCTGTACAACCTTTTATCATCATTTCTTTCTTTCTGTTCACGTGTCGGATGAAGACCAAGAGCAAACGATACTTTATGATTTGGAAGATTATCTAGATCAGTTGGACCGTACAAAGTTGAATTATTCTGAGGCTTATATTATAATGCAGGATTGTATGCTTCACATTTTAAAGTTTCAATGATTGAATTAACAGAAACTGCATCACTACTTTGGACGCAATGAATTGTTTAAATATCTAGAATAAGCAGAAATAGTTTTACGGGAGACAAAGCTTTCCTTTACAGGGAAATTATTTCTATTCTCGCGATTTCCTGATCCATCTTGTAAGATATCCCTTATTTTTTGTGGAGGCACAGACAAACGTAAATTTGCTTTTATCAAACACATCGCGTACTTTGTTTCAATGGCTGATATTTACAATTTTCAAACTTTTGCTCATGGTTATGTTTAGGAAAGTAAAAAACAGAGATTTTATTCATTTCTTCACAAGCCCATATTCTGACTGAACAACATATTTAAATTGTACCTTTTTCATTTTTTTTTTTTTTTTTTTTTCCGACTAGTTTTTTTTTTTAAAATCAGAATAACCTTGCGTGGTAAACTGACAACAATAATAATGATAAGTTTTAGAATTTTTCGTTACTTTAGAAAACTTTCTGAATGAAGTAAATGTCGAGGTTCCTTCCAGTTCTAGCCAATCTTGAAAATAACTCATTGTTTCAAATGAATATTCTTTTAAGTTATTTAAATTATGTTCATCTGCTAAATGCTTATTAAAATTTAAAACATATGTAAAAGACTTATGGCAATCAGGTATGAAGCATACATACAATTTATTAACTTCTGTGCAAAATTTCTTATGTTTAAAAAATGATAATTTGCAAGGATAACATTTATTACAATTTAGACATTTCCGAGGGTAAACAGATGAAAAATTTTGTTTTAAATCAGGTACTTGTTTATTTGAACATTTTTTTTTTTTTTTTTGTGTTATAAAATGAATTCTTCGATTTATAAGTTTTCAAGCATATTTCACATTTACGAAGATAAGCCATTTCTATTTTATCACTAATACATTCTTTGGTTTCTAATTTTTTAGCACTCAATACATTATCAATGTTTATAAGAATATTACTCTGAGGAGAAGTTATTGAAAGTTTAAAATTTTCAGTTTCAAGTTTTTCTTTGCAATTTTTTTATGATTATTAAAAGAATTTTTAGTTTTATAGTTTTTTTTACAAATATCACATTTTCTAGGATAAAGCGATGGTGCATTACAGTCAATTTCGTACCCCCCCTCCAGTCAGAATAGGACACATAGACTTATTTTCCCTCACTTGACAATTAATTTCACTGCTTTCTACATGATCTTTTAGTAAACAAAATTTATTAAAGTGAAAGAAACTTAGGCCTGAACTACAAGAAGTGCTTTTTCTGGTCATAGAAATGTTCTTTTGCTGCAAAGCATAACTAGAGGCAAAGTCAGAGTAAAAATCATCTTTTGTTGTACACAATTTAGGTTGTGAAATATCAAAATTTGTTGAATCATTTTTTAAACTCCCTTTGCCACTAACAGAAGCACAATACAATGGATAACAATCACTGAAAGAAACAGCACTTGCCTGCTGTACACTACAACCAGCAGCAGTGACTGCATTCTTTAGTGATGATCCCATGTAGGCCATTACACTTTTTAGGCGCAAAACAGCTAAACTGAAGCAGCATTCTTCAGATGCAAACCGCCACTAACAGTCAAATCCCTCCTTGGACACAAACCATCACCAAAAGCACGAATTGGTTTCTTCTCTGAAAACTAGCAATTGGGACAGTAGTGTTCGTAGAAGAATTAACAGTGGAACTAGCACTGCTCCTCAGAAAACGGCCAGAACCATGGACTGCAACACGCCTGGAGGAGTCAACATCAGCAAGGATATCATTTCTATGACAGGGGCTGGGAGTGACGTTATTCCTTGAATGCAAACCAGAAGCAGCATTCTTCGGATGACAGCCAGTACCACGGACACCAACAAGTCTAGAATGACAGCCAACACCGGGAATGACAACATTCTCAGGACTTAGGCCAGGGGTAGCAACGTTCCTTGGACGCAAATCAGAACCAGAACGAGGGACGGCAGCATTCCTTGGACGTGAACTAAAACCATTGACATACTTAAAATGAGAGCCAACACTACATATGGCAACATTTCTAGGATGACATCTAGGTTTAGTCCCATTCCTTACATGCAAACCAGAACCAGTTCTATGGACAGAAGCGTTCCTTGGGCGAGATCCACCACCATGGCCAGCAATGCAAAGAGACCGAGAGCTAGCATCTGGGTTGGCAACGTTTTTCGGATGTGAGCCAGGGGTGGTATCATTTTGCAGATGCAAACTAAAACCATCTGTGTGGTTAACAGCATTCTTTGAATGAGAGTCACCACCATGGACAACACATTTAAAACGAGATCCAGCACCAGAAATAGCAACCCTCTTCAGCCGAGAGCCAGAAGCAACTTTAGCAGCATTTCTCAAATCAGAATTAGCCTTCTTAGTAGCATCTACAGCACAACCATGCTTTAAAACAGTTGAATAGAGAGGATAAGAAGGGCTTGCAGAAACAAAAGAATCACTCAGAGGTGGAAAATCCAATGTAGTAAATGAAACACAAGGCAATACAAAAGGACTTACCTTTGTAGAAACTGGCTTTGAAGTCAAAACAATCTTGATATTATCCAGGAAAACTGCCGCAAGTTTCTTGTTCCCCAGACGGTTTAGATGTAATCCATCCCTAGCCAATAACTTAGCTCCAAAATGATGAGACGACCTGCAAATAAAAAAAACGCTTCTCGATTTTGGCAGTACTTTTCAAGTTGAGAATTAATTTCTACAATCTTTCTATTAATTACCTGTAAACGGTTCAAAGCTGCTACTCGCTGATTTAAAGTTGTGAAAAAAATCTTCACCACGTGGTAGGATATCTGAAATGATAACATTGATATTCGGGTTCAAACGTTTAATATATCCTTAAAGAGGCAATCGTACTTTTTAAGAATATCTTCAACACTGTCATTCGAATTGTTGGTACCAACATGTACCAAAATCAAATGGTATCGATTGTCCAAAAAGGATATCTTACGTCTTAACCTTTCTATCGTTGCACCAGGAAAAGAATGTAAATCTACTTCATAATTCAGAAGATTCGCCGGTAAATATTCATCCAAATATTTAACCATTGAATCTCCAATTATAAGTAATTTCATCTTTTTTGGTTGCATATCGGCAAAACAAACAACTACAAATCGAAACACAGATCAATAATTATATATGCTGTAAATAAAATGCAACTATAAATTAAATGAAAATCAAACACTAATCATAAATATAACAAAATACAAATAATTATTAATAGAAAAAAAGAAGATAAATAGCTGAAGGAAAGCGAGAAAAATGGCGCAAAAAATACACACCTCACACTCGCTAATTAACACGTGAACTAAATTAGCGCCAATTCTTGACCTCGCGGAAAAATTTACGGGAAAAAAATAACGCCAAATGCTCGCCAAGCTTTGTTGCCAACGGAGATATCAAAGGTACATATCCGGTGATGACGTAGAACACACTTCCGGGTTCCGATTTGCGGAATTCTGTAAAACTCGCTGAATCCATCTTCGTTAAGTTGGAGTTGAGCAACATTATCAGAACACTTTTCCCTACAAAAGATCGTTCCATCCTATGGCAACATTGCGCGTCTTGTAGTTTGTTTGTGAAATTTGCCGATATGGCTACTCCGTTAGAGCAATTTATTGTTAAAGTGCGAAGCTTATCTTCACAGGGTAATGAGTTCGATATTTGTAATTTGCGTAGTGTTCAAATATGTATAAGCGAACTATTTTATTTCTTATAAGCTTGTTTAGATAGTAAATGCTAATTACTACATCGTTTTATTTCAGGAAGTTTCGAACCTCTTTGTGACTTTGTTTCTAAAAGTACAGAGCTATTATTAAAGAATGCAGCTCTTCTAGATGATGTATTAGCTACTCTTGATCTTCAGGAGCATTCTTTAGGTGTATTAGCTATTCTGTAAGTTTTTTTTTTATTTTTGTTTAAAAACACGTAAAATATGCTCACGCATCTATGAAACGCATGTCCTCATAACATAAGTCATTTTTGAATTTGTAAAAGTATATTTTAGGGTACCCTTTGGCGATTTTTGGCGGTACATGGAAACCGAGTTTGTGCAATTCTTTGACTTTTAAAGTAATGTGACCAATTGCTTTTAAAATAATGTGACGTCATTTTTTACATCATCCACAACATAAAATATCATAAATAATAAAAATAAAATTTTTATTTCAAATAAAAATGCAAAATTAAATTGATTTTTAATATTTAGAAGCCATAAATAATATTTAAAAGACGGAATTTATGCATAATAAAATGCATTATTTTTAAATAAAATGACACAAAGTATCCTCAAATAACGTTTCTACAATGATGTTTACTTGGAGGCGTAAGGTTCCGGACTTGGTAAAATGAGCATATCTTCGATAGCATTATTTTTGAGGGAAATGAGATCTGGATATGATGGTATTAATGGACGATACGGTTCTTTAATCGGAAAAGGGGGGAGGGAGGAAATCGGGAAAAAATCTGGAAGTTTTGTATTTGGCTTTATTCTGTGTTTGTGTGAAACAGTGTTCATGAATTTTTGGATCCCATGGCCGTAACTAAAGTGAATTCGAAATGGGTATTTATGTATGTATTAATTTAATGTATGTGCTCATTATATTTTAAGTAGTGTTTTTGAATTTAATTATATTTTAATTAAATGATAGTTATTTTGTGAATTTATGTTTGTAGGAATTTGGTATACGTTTAGTTGAAGTAAACGTGCATGGAAATAATTAAATTTTTGATACTAAGTATTTGTAATGCTCGTGGTATGAATTCGTTGGTGACGTGTATAATGTAATAGATTGATTTAGAGGTTTTTGGATATTTTATTTATTTTATATGTGGAAATGTTCATATTTGGAAAGGGTAAATACTTTTTCGCGATCAGGTAATTTCATATATGTTCTTTTTTACCGGGTTTTAAAGATTGAGAAAATTGTCATGTATTTTCGTGAAATTTTTCTAATTTATGAGAAAAAAGCAGTGTACATGGATATAGTGAAGAGTGTGAGGCAATGCCATTTTTGTGCAATTCTGGAATGTTTTTTTAAGTAAAAATAAGTCGGCGTGTACATGGTTTATGTGTATGTGTTATTTTGAAAAACGCGTAAGGAGTATGGTATTGTGCACTTTTTCCCAATTTTGCAGTGAGTATTTGTCATGATTAAGCAGTTTTGTTAGATAAAATTTCTAGCATAAGTGTAATTCGGCTAGTAGATTGTTGGAAGAAGTTTTCAGTAGATAAAAAGAAAAGAAACATGTCTTTACTTCATGAAGACAAAATGGCGGCGGGAAAAAAAAATAGAGTGTTGCTGTAGGAGAGTTGGTCGCCAAATTTTCGCCAAAAAAACGCCAAGTTACCATAATGTAAAGATCAACCTAAATAACTTGTCTAACAAGGGGTTCACCGTAAGTCGTATTGCTCGCTAAAAAAAAATCGACAAAATCCATGCAACTGTCTACCAAAGTAGCACCAAAAGTACTATCTGCATACATTTTACCTACTCAAAAAATAAATTGGAAGCTAATTTTAATCTTGTAAGTTACATAATTTATGTGCAGAATTTTTTATATTAAAATCATGTAGCTCAAAAAGATTTTTAAAGCGTATTTATTGAAAAGATCTACCATAGGAAACAGACTAGTGTAATTCTAATGCATATACCTAAGGCTTGCATAACGGCGATTTTCACGTTACACAAAGCCAAAATTGCACATACTCGGTATCCATGTACACATCGACCTATTTTCACTTAAAAAAAAAAAAAAAAAATTCCCGGGTTTTCATGTAACGTGACTTTTAGTGCATGTAAATTCAAATTAGCAGACAAAACAATATATTAAGCATATGGTAGTAAAAATTCACAGATAATAAGCATGTAGCTGTAAAACTAACTGGTTAAGCGTGATATACGAAAATAAATTTGTATTAAATTCAAGTTAGCACAGAAAAGAATATATTAAGCATAAGCTAATATAGGTAAAAGTATATTTTATGGTACCCCTTGGCGATTTTTGGCGGTACATAGATACCGAGTTTGTGCAATACTTTGACTTGTTATTTTGGCCTGTGTAGCAGCGAGTTTTGGCGAAAACAATGCCGCTACGAAAGCCAAAATAACAAGTCAAAGAATTGCACAAACTCGGTATCCATGTACACATCGACCTATTTTCACTTAAAAAAAAAAAAAAAAATTATCGTCGAATTGCACAAAAATGACATTGTGCACACCCTTGACTTTATCCATGTATACATCGACCTATTTTCACTTAAAAAAAAAAATCTCCAAATTGCACAAACTATGCTTTACGCACTCCCTTGAGTTTGTCCATGTACATATCGATATATTTTCACTTAAAATTCAAAGGAGCACCCAATTGTACAATACAGGCAAACAAAAAATACATAATCTCAATAAGCTACATTTTAAATCAAACAATAAAATAACACAAAAAAGGAAAAAACTTGTTATGTATTTTAGCACTACACAAAGCAAAAAATCCCCTTACCTTATTTAGAAATTCGTTCGTCTTCAGTCTATGGCACACAAAATTCCTCAACAGCATCCGCAAACTTCCTAAAATTATCTGAACTACAATCCGTATATCTGCGTCGCCACAGAAATTCACAAAAATAAGAGTCAAAAATATACTACATAGTTCCGGACTATGGCTACTAAGTAAACCTTCATTTACACAATTAATTCACTCAATTAATGCACTTTTCCCCTTTCGTTCCAAATCGTACAGAAACTTCAGATTAATTCTACTACATTCAGCCATTGTCCAGTCTAAACAATGAAACAAGCAATATACTTCCTCAGGAACACACACCACAAAAGTCTTTCCAAAACATCCCATGATTCAAAATTTGACTAATCTTTGGAATATGGTAGCAGGGAGTTTGGCGACATTTTGGTAAGGCGATAAAGGTTACTAGCTAGGATTTAGCAGTGTACATGGATAAAGTCAAGAGTGTGCGCAATGCCATTTTTGTGCAATTCTGGGATGTTTTTTTAAGTGAAAATAGATCGATGTGTACATGGATATCGTGTATGTGCAATTCTTAAAAACGTGGCAAGCAGTGGGTGATTCTGCACTTTCTCCCAATTTTGCACCTAATCTTCGTCATGATTAAGCACTTTTGTTCCATAAAAGTTGTAGCATAAGCTTAATTCGTCTAGCAGATTGTTGAAAAAAAATGTTGAGTTAAAAAAAAAATGCCTTTACTTCGTGAAAACAAAATGGCGTCCAAACAAAAACTAGCAGGTTTGGTCGCCAAAAAATCGCCAAGTTACCATAATCCAAAGATAACCCAAAATTTCCCAGAATAATGCAAACGATTATGTCATAATAGGGTTTCCATAACGTCCAACTACTCAGGTTACCATAAATGATACAACAACTTGGCGTAAAACGAAACAACAACTTAGCAATAAATGAAACAGTAACTTCACGATAATACAAGGGGTACCTTAAAGTCAACTCTACCCCATAATGTATAAGCATTTATAACGGAAATAGAAATTCATCTAAAAAATATAAATTGGTATTAATGTACTGAAATTACCCAGTTAAACGTGCTAAACGAAAAAATTTGTCTTAAATTCCAGTTAACACAGAAAACAATATATTCCTTACACCAGCAGTGGTTTGCTAATTTTGATGACCATGGTGATGCATCAAACTGTTCTGTCATCTTAGATAATCAATAATATTTTTTATTTCAATTTAATCATCTATTTATGTCACACCTGCCATCCTCTGAAAGGTTATTGTTAGAAAAGCATTAACAATATATTATCTTGTTAACATTTTACACCATAAAAATTGATTTATTCTCATAATTTTAGATGACAATAACCAATAATAAAAATAAAAGCATTACTTATTAAAATGCACATGCACATTTTTGCGGCCTACGGAAACACATTATTTTTAGAGGTTGGAAACCTCATGATTCTGCTCATGGTTCTTAAGAGCTATTAATAATTAAGAGCACAACGTGAACAGCCGTTGTTACAAATTAGCATTCACCCTTCTCGCCGTATTTTCTTCCTTTCACCCCGAACCGAGAACTGGCATCTATCTACGCAAATATTTCTATCTGTTTGTTGTTAAAAAAATTCAGAAAAAATAATAATAAATAAGAGAAGAATAATATATATCTGCAAATGCGAACAACAACAGTGATAATTCAACAAAATGAACGCAAGAGGAATGGTTGCAAACTTTAAACAGGTGAATAGGATAAATTCACTGGGTTACCAGGTTTGAACTATTATCGCCAAAGTCGGCAATGTTTACATTTACCGGGTTCTCTGCGGAAGTGCTTCCAAAATCCCCAAATTGCACCAAAATGGCATAGCGCACTTCCTTGACTTTATCCATGTACACGTCGACCTCTTTTCACTTCTTTACTTTGTCCATGTACACATCGATATATTTTCACTTAAAAGTCAAAGGAGCACCCAATTGTACAATATAGGCAAACAAAAAATACATAATCTCAATAAACTACATTTTAAACCAAACAATAAAATAACATAAAAAAGGAATACCATGTTAGCTCTAGTGTAGAATTGGGTGCCCCTTCGATTAGCGGCAATTTTTTGTAACATTTTGGCAATGAAATCTTATTTCTGGTTACCATGACAGTTTAAACTTTGCTTTTAGCTTCCCGATTTTTTTTTTAAGAGCAAATAGATCGATGTGTACATGGACAAAGTTAAAGCAGTGCACAATGGTTAGTTTGTGCAATTCTCTGATGTTTTTTTAAAGTTAAAAGAAGTTGATGTGTACATGGACACCTGGTTTGTGTAGGTCTTTGACTTCTTATTTTGGTTTTGTGTAGCGGCCATCTTGAAATTGTGTCTTCCTGGCTTCGATCTTGGCATCAAAAAAGAATCGCCAAAAAACAAGGGGCACCCAGTTGTAAACTTTTACCAACATGTAACATGTAAACTTTTACCAACATTTAAGCACTACAAAAAGCAAATAATATTGGTGAATATTCGGATTATGGTAACTTGGCAAAATCTGGCAACCAACCTTGCTACAGCAACCTGCTAGATTTTTTTTTGACGCCATTTTGTTTTCACGAAGTAAAGGCTTTTTTTTTTTTTTTTACTCAACATTTTTTCCAACAATCTGCTAGCTGAATTACGCTTATGCTAGAACTTTTATGGAATAAAAGTGCTTAATCGTGACGAAGATTAGGTGTGAAATTGTTTCTAAGTGCTTATTGGCTAAAATCACGATTGGAATTTTCCAGAAAGTAGTGGAACAAACGTGCACAGAAATTTCTTTTTACAGGGAAAATTTATATATGAAACATATAAATAATTTTTCTCATAAATTAGAAAAATTTGCAGGAAAATTTTGTGAATCTTTGAAGTCTGTAAAAAGGACTGGAACTGTGTACTTCTCAGATTATTGCTAAAGTCCTAGCTAGTAACCTTTATCGCCTTACCTAAATGTCGCCAAACTAGCTGTTACCATATTCCAAAGATCAGCCCAAATGTTCTCTTACCCTATTTAGAAGTTCCTCCGTCTTTAGTCTGTGACACACAAAATTCCTTAACAGCATCCAAAAACTTCCTAAAATTATCTGAACTCGAATCCATGTATCGGCATTGCCACATCTGAACCTTTCTTCCTACAAACCCATTCAAATCCATCTAAACGGTTTCTACATTCGACTAGATGCATATCCTTCTTACATACAGGACACTTATAATGGCTATTAAGTAAACCTTCATTTACACACCAGTCAATTAACGCTTTTTCCCTTTCATTCCAAATCGTATAGACTTCAAATTAATCTTGCTAATTCAGCCATACTACCGTCTAAATAATATAACCAACACACACCACAAAAGTGCTTATAAAACATCCCATGATTCAAAATTTCCCCGAATCATGCACCCGATTACATCACAATACAGTGCACATAACATTCAACTACTCAGGCTACCATAAATGAAACAACAACTTCGCCATAATACAAGGGGCACTTTAAAGTCTACTCTAACCTTTGAATGTTCTTGAAAAAACTATAACTAAGTTGACTGTAATCATATGGGAAGGGAGGAAGGAAAAAAGCTGATGCTTTCAGAATTGCAAAGAAAAATGTTAAACTTCAACAGTGCTTGGATAATGTTATTGAAGATGCTAATTTGAATAAGTAGGTAGAAGCAATAGCTAGAACAGGAGTTGCCTAAAAGTCAGCTATGAGCCTGTTGAAATAATTCTAAGAGAAATGGTTCTATGTTGGCCTACTATTGAGTTTCTTCTTGTCTTAACAGTATCATAACAATGAAATAATTTAAAGTCATAATTGTTATATAAATTACATACATTTGTTAGCGTTAATAACCTTCGTATTAAGCAGTTGTAATGAAATTCAGCTGTGTTTTAATGACAGGCTTTAATTTATTTCATATTTAAGTTTCATTAAGTACAAATTATATTTTTTATTACAGTTTGTTGTGCAAAGGTTTAATAAATGAAGTTATGGGTGGGTTTAAAATGCATATTTTATGTGTAAATTATTAATATTGAAAACTTGCTATATTATTTTCAGATGTGTAAAATTTAGCCTGCCAAACATTCCTGAATATGAAGTCTTGTATGCTCAAGTTCAAGAATTTATTACAAGTTGTAATGGAGAACAAGTTCGTTTTGCACCAGATATTTGTAAGTAATTTTCTCTCTTAATTTTCATTTTAAAATTAATAATATGCTGAATGTTATTTATGCATCATTTCATAAATCAGGGCTCACTGATTTCTGCCAAAGTAGCTGTAATCAGTTAAAAATGATTATAAAAGTGTCAGAAACTGATGAAATAAGTGAAAACTGTAGAGTACTAAAGGGGAAAAAACGAATAAATACAATAAACAAAAGAAGAAAAAAATTAAAGTTTAATTCATTCACGTACAGAAAACAGTGGATGACATAAGTGGAAAGTGATAAGGAAGAGTTTTTTTGGGGGGGGGAGGGAGGGAGGCATGAGCAATATCTTCCATGAAAACATTAGGTCACACTCTTTCTGGGGCATCTTTTATCTTTTCTTTGTCTTTTAGTACTGTTCTTCTTGAGACTTACTATGCTTCTACTTCACTCCAATTATGTTCAGTATGATTTGTTGTCTACATTTTAAAATGTTTCTTAAGCGAGATATGACATTATTGTTGAAAGTGCTTATACTGTAGCTTACTACTGCTTTTTTAGGGAGGTGTGTGTCTTTGTTTTTTTTTTTTTTTTTTTTTTTTTTTTTTTTTTCTTTTTTTTTTTTTTTTTTTTTTTTTTTTTTTTTTTTTTTTTTTTTTTTTTTTTTTTTTTTTCTTTTTTTTTTTTTTTTTTTTTTTTTTTTTTTTTTTTTTTTTTTTTTTTTTTTTTTTTTTTTTTTTTTTTTTTTTTTTTTCTGGCAAGCGGCCTGCCTACCTGACCACAAGTGGCCCTATGGTTTAATTAAGCTCTTCCAGTTATAGGTACAAACACAGCACACACTAAAGTAGAATTCCCACTGTATGAGTGGTAGCACACTACCACTTGTACAGTGTCATTGTGTCAATAGTAGTCTGTATCAGTGATCTACTGTCTCAGTCTGTAAAATAGAATTCTCACTTTATTAGGGTGGTACATAAAAATTTTCATGTTATCCTATTTTGCACATGTTTGCAGTCAAAGAATTGGCTTCATTTTTTCTTCCTCGCTTCAAAACATTTCTTCCGCAATCTCCATTTGTAAGGTTTTGTTCTGAACTTTACTCAGTTTCTTATTGAACTCATTTTTTTAACCCTTTCTATATATTCATTCTTAACTTCCAACCCCATGGTTTTGCAGAGAAACACAATATCACAAATAACAAAAATATCCTAAGTGTCGAAGAATGGCTGAATTCAAAGTTCTATAAGCCGCTTGCTGCCAGTCGTCACTTACTGCAGCTAGTAAGTTAATGAGGGTTAAGCGATGGAAAATTTTAAAATAGTGTTTCTGGAAGTTGTATGTTAATTCAACATGAGAAATTATCCCATAACACCTCTGAAAATCATTTGTCATCTTGAGTGTTTGTAGCTCAAGATACCGCTCATCATCCAGCATGATTTTGTTCAGATTATTTTAGAATTAGAGGCATTTGTAATCCAGTGTTTCACTATATATTTTAAAATGTAACTTCAATTTAAGTGTTAACAATATTTATTCAAAGTTGCATAACAGGTAGTTAAAGGTTACATGTCGCATTTGAAGTTCAAGCTGACTTTTACTTCATGAAGTAGTCTATTGTGGAAGGCTTGTTTCAAAACCCAAGGTATTTCTCAATTTATTTTAAAAAGTGTAAGAGTGAAGAATATTCTTTCAGGCTCGTCAGTATTTGTAGGTGATATCATCATTATGCAAGTCTGTTGTGAAAACTTCATTTGCAATAGTAGAAACATGTAGAAGCTGAAATTTGTTCAGGAAAATAGTAAATTTTGCTTGAAAAGCTTTGAAGTAAAGCATTAAACATAAGTTTTTGCTGTTACCTGATTATCCTACTTTTGACCTATTGCATAAAGTTTTCATAAGGTCAGGTTATCATCAGCCATTAGTGCCAACCACATTTCATGAGCATTTGCAATAGAAGTTTATTTATGTGTTTATTAAACTTTTATGCAGTGTGAGAATGATAGGTTTTAATAGCTGCAACAAATGTTTTACTTCTTTGATATCATTTTTTTGATTTAAAAATATCTTTTTTTTCTTTTTTTTTTTTTTCTTTTTGTACATGACTAGACATTGGCTTCTCAAGTATTTTTTGGGAAATTCTAACTAGCCATCTCATCATCTTTGAGAATTTTGTCCAGGGTAGACTGCTGTTACACAGTGAGAATGGGAAAGGACATCCAGAAACAACCAAGCGAGAATGGGAAAGGACATCCAGAAACAACCAAGCGAGAATGGGAAAGGGCATCCACCAGTGGTATAGCTAAGATTCCAGCGCCCAGGGACAACTGAAGAATTTGCACCCCTTTCTGTGGGCCAAGAATGGAAAACACATACCTGCCAACTTTTACGAATTTTTTGTAATTTTTACGAAAATGCGTTTGTCTTTACGATTTTACGATCGTAATCCATTTTTTATGATTTTTTTCCTTTTTCAAGTGTGTTTTTAGTGATTTTTGTCGAAATTTTAGAATTTTTCATCCCAATTCAGCATCGTGTTTTACCGAATTGCATCAGCTTTTACCGACTACTTCGACTCCAGTAACCTGCGGTTTCTCCCAACTCGCCGCTTAACCAGCCAATCCAATGCACAGAACTTGTTTCTCCCACTCTTTTCTTTGTGGGCACCAGATTATTTTTTTCACGTTCGCTTCAGCAGCAAGGGAATTACTCGGCTCGGACTCAGCGAGCATGGATTGTCGCATTTTTTTTTTTTTTTTTTTTTTTTTTTTTGTTTGTTTGCACATGCTACGAATTTTCTTAATACGTCGTTGTTACGAAATGAGTTAAAAAAAAAAGGTATTCTCAATATTTTCGGCTTGCCTACAAAGCCGAATTTCCAACAATTAAAGAATTCTTCAAAGGAAATAACTGCTTTTTGCAACGTGTGCGTGTGTGACTTCATAATAAGTCACGGTGGAAGAAGCGACATTGTGAAGCATGTTAAGTCTAAAAAGCATTCGACAACGTTAATGCTTCGGCTTTGACAACGTCAAAGAAAGTGGATGATTTTTTTTCAAATTCGGCTACGAATTCGGATGCTGATGTCATTTTGGCAGAGTGTTTGTTTACTGCATTCCTCATCGAACACAACGTGCTGCTAAGCGCCGCCGGTCAACTTTTCAGGCGGATGTTTCCCGACTCCAAGATTGCTCAGAAATATGCTTGTGCGGGCACGAAAACATCTTCTATTGTGAACGAAATTGCTTGCGATGTACAAAGTAAAACGATAGCTGCACTCCAGAATTCAGCATTTTCAGTGTCAATCGATGGCAGCAATGACAGCGATTGGAAGCTTTACCCCCATCGTTGTCACATATTTCTGTGATGTTTCCAATGAAATGAAAACTCATCTTTTCCGTCTTCCATTGTTAAATGGAGACGCTATGGGAGAAAATATTGCCTCCTTGGTAATTAATGAGTTGAAACAACTTAACATCCCAATATCAAACTGCATTTCATTTGGTGCAGATAATGCTCATGTCATGGTGGGTGACAAAAAGGGTGTAGCCTCTTTCCTCAAAAAAGAACAAAATGAATTAATTGTGATTGGATGTCCATGCCACTTAATTAATTTGGCAGCAGAAAAAGCTGCAGCTGTAATTCCACAAAGTAATGCTGAGTGCGAGAGAGTCTTCAGTGTTGTGAATGAGGCCTTCTTAACTTTTCTTTGCTTCAATTTCACGAAAAACTCTAGAAAAACATTTTAATTGCTAATTGTTATGAGGAAATTTTCCAAAGAATTTTTGGCTACAGCCAAAAAATGCACTCTAAATTCATTGCAATAATTTTTTTGTTAAACATTAAGTTCTTGTTTTATGTTTCCTAATAAATTTTTTAGTTACTACTTAATTGATATTTACTAATGCAAGTACAATTTTCTTTTGGTTGATCTTTACAATATGGTAACTGGTAGTTTGGCGACATTTTGGAGGCGATAAAGGTTACTACCTGGGACTTTGGTAATAATGTGAGCAGTACTCAGTTCCGATTACGCATTATTTTGCGTGAGGGAAATGAAGAGATCATGGGATATGTCATGTGATATTAATGGACGAATTACGGTTCTTTAATCGGAAAAGGGGGGAAAGGGGGGAAATCGGGAAAAAAATGTGGAAATTTTGTATTTAGCTTTATTCTGTGTTGTGTGAAACAGTGTTGTTTAATTTTTGGATCCCATGGCCCTAACTAAAGTGAATTCGAAATGGGTATTTAGTTTAGGCATTGTGATAAAGAGAAGTTTCCTTTTTATTTAGCGGAAGGAAGTATGGAGGAAAAATTCGCAGAAAAAAATCTTTCAATAATTTTATTGAATGGATTAGAAAAGTGTATCCGCCACGTAATCAAGATTCTGAAGAAGATTAGGTAAGTTAGTATTTTTAATTATTTGAGGATATTATTTTTATGCATTGTTCTAAATGTAAGGTGGAAAGGAATTTGGTATTATTGGGAAAATTGTTATTAGCAATGATTTAGTTTAAAGTAATTAGGATTGTAAGGTAATTTTTATTAATTTAATGTATGTGCTCATTTATATTTTAAGTAGTGTTTTTGAATTTAATTATATTTTAATGAAATGATAGTTATTTTGTGAATTTTACATTTGTAGGAATTTGGTATACGTTTGAGTTGAAGTAAACGTGCATGGAAATAATTTAAATATCTGACACTAAGTATTTGTAATGCTTGCAATATGAATTCGTTGGTGACGTTTATAATATAATAGATGATTTAGAGGTAAAAGTTTTTGGATATTTTTTTATTATTTTATATGTGGAAATGTTCATATTTGGAAAGGGTAAATACTTTTTCGCGATCAGGTAATTTCATATATGTTCTTTTTTACCGGGTTTAAAGATTGAGAAAATTGTCATGTATTTTTGTGAAATTTTTCTAATTTATGAGAAAAAAGCAGTGTGTACATGAATATAGTGAAGAGTGTGCGCAATGCCATTTTTGTGCAATTCTGGTATGTTTTTTTAAGTAAAAATAAGTCGACGTGTACATGGTTTAGTGATATTTTAATTAAATGATAGTTATTTTGTGAATTTTATGTTTGTAGGAATTTGGTATACGTTTAAGTTGAAATAAACGTGCATGGAAATAATTTAAATATTTGATACTAAGTATTTGTAATGCTTGTGGTATGAATTCGTTGGTGACGTGTATAATGTAATAGATGATTTAGAGGTAAAAGTTTTTGGATATTTTATTTATTTTATATGTGGAAATGTTCATATTTGTAAAGGATAAGTACTTTTTCGCGATCAGGTAATATCATATATGTTCTTTTTACAGGGTTTAAAGATTGAGAAAATTGTCATGTATTTTCGTGAAATTTTTCTAATTTATGAGAAAAAAAAAAGCAGTGTACATGGGATATAGTGAAGAGTGTGCGCAATGCCATTTTGTGTGCAATTCTGCGATGTTTTTTTAAGTAAAAATAAGTCGGCGTGTTGTTTTGTGTACATGGTTTATGTGTATGTGTTATTTTGAAAAACGCATAAGGAGTATGGTATTGTGCACTTTTTCCCAATTTTGCAGTGAATATTTGTCTTGATTAAGCAGTTTTGTTTGATAAAATTTCTAGCATGAGTGTAATTCGGCTACTAGATTGTTGGAAGAAGAGAAGTGTTCAGTAGATAAAAAAGAAAAGAAACATGTCTTTACTTCGTGAAGACAAAAATGGCGGCGGGGGGGGGGGGGGAAAAAAAATATAGGGTTGCTTGTAGGAGAGTTGGTTGCCAAATTTTTGCCAAAAAATCGCCAAGTTTCCATAATGTAAAGATCAACCTTTCTTTTTTCTATTTGTATAAATTGTTATTTTTTTAATATCAAAGCATGATATTAATTCTTTGTGTTCTTCTGAATTTTGGAGAAATCTTCTGAATTTTTATCTTTAGAGGTTGGCAGGTATGAAAACATTTCATTAACAAAATTTCGTAGCATCAGTTTGGTGCTCCCTTAACTACTTCCAAATATTATTCAAGGTGATAATATTTAGTTGTAACGAAAGTTTTCTGAATTAAGTTAGGAAAAAAAAAAGAAAAAAAAAAAAAAGAAAACATGAAAAAAGTACCTTTAATGCGGGTAGTAATCACCGCCAAAATCTATGATTTTCTGCCAAAATTTTGGTAGTTTTTCGCCCAAGAAACTTGGTGACCGCGATTCCAAAAATAGATCAACCTGATTTTGGACGCTGTATACAGAATGGAAGAAAGCACAAGCAAGATGTAGCTGCAGGTGTGAGAAAAGATAGAAGTATGAAGGAGCGATATCAGGGATATGTGGTGGGTGTGGCAAAAGATCCCATTCAAGTCTGTATAGAGTCCAGCCAGTGAATGCAGACATATGTAATCTTGCATTATCTTGATGGAACATTACTGTTTTGCTCTGGAACTCAGTTCGACGTTTTTGCATGATAGCCATGTCAACATGGACTAGAATTTTGCTGTATATTTTATTGTCAATGGTTTTACCGTTTTCCAGATACTTTTCGTGGATACCGTGGCAATCTCACCAGATGCAAAGCCTGATCTTTTTGTTAGTGAAATTATGCTTTGCGACACTGCCAGCGTGCACACTGGGTACAGACGAACCCCTTTTTGAGCCTGTGTTGTTAAAGTAAATCCACTTTTCTTCACAAGTGATGATTCGATCCAGAATTTTGTCCTTACATTGATATTCGAGCAGATTAGGGCTGGCCCGAACACGCCTGTCCTTATCTGCTTGAGTCAAATTATGTGGCACCCAAAGATTGAACTTTTACGTCAAGTTTATATGATGCACTGCATAACTAATGGACATAGCACTAATGTCTAACTCCTTAGCAAGCTCTCCAGTTGTTGCATACTGATTTTCTTCTGCAAGTTCTCACAGGCAGGACTCATCAGCATTGGTAGGCTGGCTTATTGAGTAATATAAAGCTAAGATGAATTTTGAATCAAACAATGAAATAACATAAAAAATGAAATTCATCTTAGCACTACACGAAGGAAATATATCCACTTTATTTACAAATTTCTGAGCCTTCAGTCAAACAAAATTTCTTAACAGCATTTAAAACTTCCTAAAATTACCTGAACTAGAATCTGTATACTGGCATTACCACATAAATTCACAAAAATAAGAGTAAAAAATATCTTCCAACATTTGACCATACGCATTTCCTTCCTACAAACAGGACACTTAATAATGGCTACTAAGTAAACCTTCATTTACGTACCAGTCAATTAATGCTTTTTCCCCTTTCTTTCAAAATCATACAGAAACTTCAAATAAACCTTACCACAATCAGCCATTTTACTATGTAAACGACAAAATAACAATGTACTTCTTATCCAAAATCGGACACACAAACACAAACCTTTCCAAATCTTTTCCCATCATTCAAATTCACTGTAATAACGCAAACAATTACATGATAATAGAGTTTCCATAGCAATCAACTACTCAGGTTACCATAAATGAAACAACTTGGCGATAAATGAAATAACTTGGCAATAATCCAAGGGGCATCCTTTTATCTATTCTAACCATTTTAAACAATTAAAACTTGCTTCTCTGGAAAGGGTTAAAATTTGTTTTCTCATGGTAAAAGGCTAGCCCTGCTGTAAATGAAGGCATGTGATTTTTGTTTATTGCTATTTTTATTTATTCCATTTTTAAAATTCAGTTTATTGATATTGTTGATGATATAGTTGTTTAATAGTTTTAATATGCACATGTATTGTGTTATTTGTCAGTTAAGTATTAGTGTTGCATTGTTGTTATGTTAGCAAAACTAAGCATTCATATATATATACTTTTAATTACAATTTTAAAACTATATTTATCATCTCATCTATATCTATAGATCTGAGGTGATAATATAGTTTTAAAATTGTAATTAAAAGTATAATGAATATCAAAATATTATGTAATTTTTGTAATAATATTTCTTGTACATGTTACTTATATTTTAGATATTTGTATTTCGTTTCAGTTGCTCAGCTGTGCCATTTATTCACTCGGAGTTTAGTAGAAAGGCAACAGGTTAGATGATGGCATTTATTTTGTATTTTGTTGCTATTAGGTAACCAAAAGTAATTTATTAAAACTTTTTCCTTTTTGATGAGTAAAAAACAACTAGGGCAAGAGTAGCCTTTTGGAGGCAAAAAATCATCTGAGACATTGTCTCCTAAACTAAGAAGGCTGAAAAAATAAAATTAATTTTAAAGCAAAAATAGTTAAACATAAATCAACATACTATTACTTGCCTTTATGAATATTTTGTGAAGCTACTGTCATCTTTATAAACACAGTTTTTATAGTATATAGTTGCACTTGAATTCTAGAAAGAGATTAAGTGATGATTTTTTTGTGTTTAAGTAACATCAGCTGGTTTAACGTTATTCCAGTTAATTACTTTAATTCATTCTTAGAAGTTTTTTCAGACATTTTCACAATATTGAAACAGGCTTCATCCTCAGTTTTTTGTGTCTTTTTAATTTTTGAAATAAAATGTTCTGGAAGTTCAGAAACAAGGTCTGAATGTATGAAAAATATTATGAACTGTTGATTCATAAAGTTTGCATCTATGTAGAGGCGAATTTATAAGATTTCTGTCCAGAGCAAAGCAAAACATTAAAAAATTTTCATTTGCAAAGTTTCACAAAGTTCTGCATTCAGTGTGGAAAAACACGAGGCTTGTACATGGCATTACATGAGTAATGAGGTAGATGAAAACATTATTATGCAAATATTTTTCTGTTGCTGAAATATTTTTGAAGGAAATGAAAAGAAATGTGATTTAATTTACTTAATAAACTTATTTTAATTTACTTAAAACTATCCTGCTGGATTAAATAACAGAGACTAATGCACATTGTATCAGTAAATACTCCCAAAGTCTATGAAAATAATCTTAGAAATGTGATATTTAATTTCCTTTCTTCTTTAACTACCATCAAATAATAAAAGAGGCAGATACTATGTAATGCAGTGGGTTTTTAAGCTTGTGAACTGAAAAATATTCAACAGCATATTCCATTATTTCACCACATTTTCTTTATATTTTATTATCTTAAAAAACTGAAAGCAGAATAATGCGTTCTTGACTTGCTCAACTAATGACAAATACCTATCATTGGAGGGTGTGAGGAAATCTTCTGCATGTTTCTATTCAATACAAAAGACAATTGTGAAATGTGCATTTTGTCAAGGTGCACAGTTGTCTTCCTATATATATAAACAAAAGCTGCCTTAAATTTTTAGTAATACATAATGTCTAGAATGTATTCTTTTTTTATTTGCTTTAGTAACCAAGTATGTTAAGAATTAAAGTAAAACATTTCCCAGATTTTTTACCTTAGTGAAATGTTAGTGCTGTATTAAAATGTTTATAATTGATATGCCAAATGATCCAGCAAGTATCAGTTTGGTTTGGTGTTAAGTATATACTGGGGCTATCGAAGAATAAATTTTGAGATCCTTCTTTTAAGATAAAATATAATAATGCTCACTGGTGTATAACAAGCATCTATAATTTCAAGCTACAATTTTTTAAGTATGTTTGCCATATAACACACACCCAATTCTTCAGGAAGAAACCTAAAATATACATGTGCAATGCTCGTATCTTTTGATGTCAATTATTCGAAGATATGTCCTAGCCTTTCGAACAATGGTAAACCACATTGACAAGTGATAAGGAGAACAATATGTATGTGGGTTAAATGCTTGAGGAAGTAAATATTCCAGCAAAGAGGGTGCATTGTATTCAGTGCAAATGTCCAAAAGAATGTTATTGTAGAGCATTTCCAACCTTAATGAATTCGAAAATTAAGTTAGATGTTTTCTCTTCTGTAGTCATTTGAAGCCATAATTTTTAAGTGAAAATCGAAGGCTTTAGTTGAAATATAGTTAATATAAAGTCTCCTTTTAGCACTAAATATGGCTCCCACGAAAAGAAACTGGAGGGTTTTGGTTACTACTTCTGTGGGAGTGACTGTCAGGTTACCCTGTGTTGAGGGGTTGCAGGTAGCGTATCTGACTCCTTGTAATAATTGAGTTCACAAGCTTCCTTGTAAATTCAAATGCAAAACTATTCATTTTGTGAAAGAAATTGAAAATTGTGCTGCAGTAAGGATGTTTGGTGTTGGTGAAAGTTGGAATGGATAATGATTATTTATTTATGGATCAAAATATGTGAAAAGGAAACAAAATTCGATGATATGCCTGAAGATGTAATGGAAGACGAATATGGTTAACTCTTTGTGGTAACCGATAATGAAAATGTTTAATTTCATTAAGGTGCACTTTTAATATTTAATCATTTCAAGCAGTATTTTCGTGCATGTAAGAATCTAATTTTTTCCTTTTAAGTTATCATTTTTATATATAAAATAATAACCAGCGTATAACATGCACCTGTAAATTTTGGTCATATTTTTTGTATTAAAAGTGCACATTATATGCTGGAATATGTGATAATTGTAAATATACTTTAATTTTTCGGAATTTTGATGATGTTTCTTTGACATATCTTGCATACATGTAGAACTAAAATAATATTTTGCACAAGCAAGCTAGCTTCTGTGTTTTTTTTTTTTTTTTTTTTAAAAAAAACACACTAGTTAAATCAAGCTAGGAACTTTCAAAATTAGGATATACAGGGTGATTCGCTATGAGACCGACAAACTTGCAGGTTATGTAGGGGATACAGAGACGACTCGGAATCGCATAGGAATGTAGGGTCGCAAATGCTGTAGTTGCGAGTTATGGTGCAAAGAAGCAAAGAAAAAGAACAGAAACAGCAAAACATTATAATAGGGCAGAAAACAGTTTATTGAAAGGTTGTACCACAACAGGTGTTCGAAATTACGACCAGAAGTCATCTGCAGGCCTCAAAGCAGTGCTGCATGGAATTCCTTACATTCAGATTCCTGGCCTGTCACATACCCCCCAGACAGACAGATATCCAAGCGACGAGGTCTTCAACTGAAGGAATGGGTATCTTGTGCATCAAACTCTTCATGTGATCCCATAATTCCATGCATGATAGGTCCAATGATCTGGCAGGCCAATGAACCGGGCCACTACGATTTATCCACTGCTGTCTAGAAGTTATGTAGAGGTGTCGCTGTATGTCAATCATGTAATGTGGAGAAGCCTTGTCATGCTGGTACCACATAGACCTACACCAAAACTATCATGCATATGTTTATTCTTCTGGGGCATTGGTCGGCAAAGTGCGGCTCCAGAGCCGCATGTGGCTCTTTGGCTCCTTAAGTGCGGCTCTGGTACAAATATCCATGGAAGGTGCAATAATATTTTCATTTAAAAAAAAAACTTGGTAATAAAAAAATTACATCTTATTTTGATAAATTTAAATTCTTTTATAAATTGAGAACATGTATAATTTTTTGTTTGAGTAAAAAGATAGATAGGTAATTAAAATTTTATATTGTTGTAAAAATACGTAACGAACATCGAGTTTAATTGTATTAGTTTTCGTAAAGGTAAACATAAACCATGTACAAGCTACCGGCATGCGCGTGCATGCTTTTTATAAAGTAGTGAAGGTACAAATTGGCATCACAGAGCAGCAGTTGCAGTGTGAACAGTTTGGCTTATCTATCGTTGTCCTGTCTTATTAAAATGTTGTTATATTTTTGTAATCTAGCTGCACATCTTGCAGGTATTTTTATATGATTTTATTACACCTGCTATGTATGTTTGTGGTTCCGGTACAAAATTTGTAATCGATTTTTCGATAACTTCTATTTGTTCAAATGTTGGAAGTTTTCTTCCATTTTTGGTCATATTAAAAGTTTTGTTATTCCGATGATGGGAATTTTTTTTTTTTTTCTTTTTAGTGCAGTTACATATATTAATAAAATTGTATTTCTTAAAAAGATTTTTTGTTTAATTTTTATTTTCATTAATTTCATAATGATAATTTTGGACTGGTGGCTTTAGAAAAAAATATATTTGGAATATTTTTATAGGCACCCCAATTAACATGGCTACCCAAAAAAAAGCAAAGAAAAACGGAAGATGAAAACCACGAATTTAAGGTTGAGTGGACCGAGAATTTTGCGTTTATTCAAAACTTCATTGGACTTCCGACATGTCTTATTCGTAAGGAGAAATTAGCGCATAACAAGAAGTCAAATTTAGAGAGACACTTTACAAAAAGCACGCGTCATTTAGCACTAAATATCCTACCGGCGATGCAAGGAAGAAAGCAGTTGAGGAACTTCAGAAGAGTCCGTCAACTTCTGTGTTTAATAACTGGATGCAATCTTCCCTCAATATTAGTATGACAAGTTTTGTTTGTAACCAAGAGATTGCTAAGAGAGGAAAACCGTACACAGACGGCAGATACGTAAAAAATTGTTTTATAAATGCATCTGAAAAGCTATTTCGGGATTTTAAGAACAAGCAGATATTCTGAAAAGAATGAAAGAGTTACCATTGTCTGCCAAAACCATTAAAGATAGAACAATTTAAATGTGTTTGAATATAACCATGCAGCATATCGAAGATCTGAAATTGGTTTCGGCTTTATCAGTAGCAGTTGACGAGTCTGGTGACATAAATGATACAGCGCAAGTTTCACTTTTTGTAAGATTTGTGTCTCATTCAGGCCCTAAAGAAGAACTTTTAGGATTATTGCCACTCAAAGGTCAGACACATGGAAAAAATATTGTGTAATCGAGTGTATGGATAAATATCCTATTCCCCTCAATAAAATTATGTCGATTTCAACAGATGGGGCCAAACATATGACTGACGTATGAAAAGGGGTTGTTGCTATTTTGAAAGAAAAAATTAATCACGAGATACTTGTTTACCATTGTATCATTCACCAAGAAGCACTTTGTGCACAAACATTTCCGGAAGAAATTTGTAAAGTTATGGAATTAGTGATTACCATTATCAACTCCATTTTAGCTAAAGCTCTTAATCATAGCCAATTCAAAGAATTTTTATTTGAAAGGGAGAGTGAGTATGCTGATCTTCTGCTTCATAACAAGGTACGTTGACTA